ATAAAACCAAAAAAAAAAAAAAATTACCTGCATGCCAACTTCAATTGAAATCGTCCTCGAAGAGGATACATCAATCCCAATAAATCTTGAGAAAACATAGCCGAAGAAAAACCCGGAAGTGTGTAAAAGGGTCACGGCAAGAACAACTTGCCGGCCAGACATTAGAATTGCCGATGAACTCTGAGCAATTGCATTTCCACAAAGGATAGCCACAGTTGACACAGCAATAGGCGGCATCAAAGGGGAAATAATTTTAACGAGTCTTTGGAAGTACCGATTTAGAAATGCACCGGCTAAAACAGGAAGAAGCACGACCTACATCGGTTTTAAAGATGAAAAAAAGTAAAAAAAAAATAAAAAATAAAAAAGATGAAAGAAAAAATGAAAAGAAGCTCAGTATCGTTTCGACTTTGTATTTTGGAAAGTTACTTTTAAATTATTTGAACCTCATAAATAACAAATGTCGATTACAAACAAAACCTGCAATGTCGACATGAATAGACCAATAGCATCTACAGCAACATATTGCCCTGCCAGTTTAGCTGTGAGGTAAGGAGTAATGACCTGCAAAAATGGAGAACAATAAATTGAGTCAATAAATTCAGTCGATTTTTCAGAAAAGTAGTAATAAGAGAAGAAAAATAGAATAATAAAATACGAGCTACTAATAATCTACTAACCACGGCTGTGAGAGTACTTGCAGCTGTCATCAGCACAGATAGAGCCACATTCCCACTGTAGCATAACGAGCCGTGAAGATGAGGAAAACTTACGGATCATCATATTTATCGATTAGTAAGAGTTAAAAGGTTTTACTTACCGTGCAATGTACGTAACGATATTACTGGCTGTCCCTGAAGAATGACAAGGAAAAATGCAAATATTTAAAGAACAGATTAATGCAAGATAGTTCGGGTAGAAATACATGTTAATTACAAAAAAAAAACGCTCATGATATTATGATCAACAATTGATTTTCTTTATCCTCAGAATGTATTAAACAACTTATATGATCAACAATTGATTTTCTTTATCCTCAGAATGTATTAAACAACTTATACTTATACTATACCTCCAGGACAGCAGCCCACTAGTATCAAGCCAGCTGCGTAATAGGTAGGCAAATTTAAGAGCTTGCTCACAAAAAATCCAGATAAAGGCATAATCTGCAACCGAAACCTCTTCTATAAGTGAGCATTAAAGGTTAAAAGAATACATCTCATCGAGTTCATTACACAGATCATTGTGTTATCGAATAACGAAATAGTACCTCCAGTAAAGATGGAGATCAACACTACAGTACTAGTAATGAGCAAAATCAAGATAGCTCCCTTGCCCCAATTTTCGAATAAATTTACAAGCCAACTTTTTTCAGTGTCAAGCCAAAGGTTACCAACATAACTTATTATCTTCAATACCGTCAATAATCCGGGATAACTTCCTTTAGTTTCAACTTGGCCATTCAACATAGTGCAACAAGTAACTTCTACAGATCCTATAACTTATGATTTCCTTCTTGAAGTAGAACAGTAAATCACCAACACCATTGACAGCAGATATAATCAGTTATCCACCAACCCGAGCTGATTTCGAGCTCCCTAAATGTCAGAATAAAACATAATAATAGTATATTTCCATAATTCTTGTCTAAATACAAGTGAATGAGCATAACATTATAAACATAAAAAACCACCCAGCTCAACAAAAAACAAGATTTAACAAAAATATGAATGACAAAAGGGAAAATGAAAAGAAACCAGACAAAAGACAAGTAAAAAGGACTACCGAATACTGCAAGAAGAACCCAGCTAACAACTCCTTCGGCATGGCCAACGCGCCGCGAAGGTCGTCGAAAGTCAACGTCATCCCCATGCCGAGCATGGTGACGGTGATGCCCATCACTGTCCACTTGGGCTGGACCCAATCATACCATCCGGGTCTCACGAGGCCCAACAAGCAGCCCAAAGCAACCCACACCGGAAAAGCCGTGGAGATGGCCTCTCCGACTGCCTCGATCCAGCTCTTCTTCTCCGCAGTCAACGCGCTCGACGAGTTGCTGCACCGAAGGGGCTTCGGCCTGATAACCGAACCGAAGCGGGAAGCCGCCGGAAAAACCAAAAAGGGCTGCCGGAAATGGGGTTGAATTTGAGGGCTTTTGATTCTCGCCGCCGGAAACGGTTTGGCCGGCGGCGAATGTGCTGCAGTTGGGGTCGGGGATTTGTAGAGGCGAGTAAAGGGTGCTGAGAAATTAGCTTTAATGGCGTGAACGTTCATCATCTTCTCCGGCAGCTCAACCTCGTTTTACAGGTGATTTTGTGCTCTTGTGGTGACAGTTCAGTATCAGTACTCAGTAGTGTACTAGTGTCCTGTTTTATGATTATCAAAAGACAAAAATAAATAAACTAAAAGTTAATTATTATTAATCCACTTGTATTTAGTTTGGTTTTTATGTATTGTAGTGTAGTTCGATTTTCTTTAACTAAGTTCGATTTTTTTTTTTTTTGGTACAATGAAGGAGGCTGGATGCTTAAACGAGAACTAGACTAAGACTCTACGCGGGTACGAAACCCCAATAATGTCGTGCTCGAGCCACATGCCCATCCCTGAAGGAGGCGAGGAAAGTCTCTGTACACCAAATTCACTGCCCTTCAGTGCGGTTATAATGTGACGTGTGTATAACTATAATTAGGTACTCTGCATTTAGTGCACCTACACCTTTTTTCCTGTATAAATACCGATCTCAGGGTCCATCATCAAAGGCACGACGAAGCAATCAGTCGACAAACACTATACTCAACCCTTATGTCTCTCTCATGTACATTAATCTTCCGAGATCATACACTACACAATAGTCGACTGTATTCACTATAGAAACTTGCTTATAATAATTTGGACTTTGTCGATCGCTACAGCTGATCAACAAAATCAATGTCATGCTCTTTTTATGAAAATTTATTTTTTTCGATCTCACATATTCCATATCAATAAAATACACTAGTAACCCCCGATTAGACCACCTTAAAAAAACTATATCATATTCGTTTTGGTGACCTACCTTCAACACGACTCATGAGCTAATTTCATAAATATATATAATATAAGTTGTTTATAGCTATTAGTCATAAATTATCAACTAAAAATTTGAAATTAACTTATGAGTGTGTTTGATAAACACCACGAGCTATCTTATCAGCTTAAAAGTTTTGTATATTTAAATAAATTTTATTTAGTATGATGAGCTTTTTTAAAAAGTTGAAACTTTCCTTATAAGCTTTCTATTGTAATTACATCCATTGAAATTTTATTGCACCCGACTTATCAATTAATTTTTTTAAAAAAAAAAAAACTTTTATTATATCAGTTAGTTTTTCAACTATCAATCATAAGTTATGAGTTATAATCTCGAAATTCAGTTAAGAACTGTAATCTAATTTATCAATCATATATGAGTTAAATTTTCAATTAATTAGCTTAACTTATTTATTATAAGCTAGTTTTAATTTCATCTAGATTTGCATACCCGTTAATGAAACTATTTTATTCCAAATTGCCCCCATTAATCAGTCAAAGTATGGTCTACTCTTATCAGGCCATGCTATCTTTTACTACATTCTTGTGTGACTCGTGATTGAATTATCACACACCTTCAAACGGTGTGTCTCATTTATTTCCAACGGCTAATTCAAAGCAAATAATACACACACACACAAAAAAAAAATAAAAAAAAAATGATAATAATAATAAAAAACACACACCAAGTTAGAAAAAAAATTATAGGGAAATGATACGGTCCCGTTACGGTACCATCCCGTCGGGTGTTTTAACCATTAGATCATCTATCTTATCTAACTAAATATAGATTCAACGGCTAAAACACCCGACGGGATGATACCGTAACGAGACTGTAGCATTTCCCAAAATTATATGTTACACCAATCTCGTCGGTGATTCTCACATGAAACCCCACACAAAAATTGCTAAAAACCTTTGACATTTTTAGTCATCATCACCTCATTCTCCACTTTCACCAAAAAAGGAAAAATAAAAAATAAAAAAAGCTAATCATTCTTGCTCCTAAATCTTCTTTTTCCGCTCAAAAAATGGAGACCTTATGGAATTTAGAGGACAGATTGAACCTCACGACTCGAAAGGCCGTCTCGTTTTTCGCATGCACGGCTCTACTAACGTTCGGCGTGTGCCTAACCATGGTTTATTTTCGGAGGAAAATCCTCGACTCGCGCGCTAGCATTCACCAAGAGCCATGCACGAACGAGCCATTGGACAGGCAAAGGCATTTTGGCCGGTGCTCGGTGGTTCGGGCCTTGATGCAGGCCCTTCGGTGGAGCGGGCCGAGCTCGTGGGCTAGCGGGCTTAGGGGGAGCCGGAGGTCGGAGGCTCCAACTTCCCTTCTGGTGAAGAAGTGTAATATCGCGGGTGATGTGGGGTGGCAGAGCAATAACTCGACTTCCGCGGTTTGGAAAAAGCCGATACTTATGGGGGAAAAGTGCGAATTCCCGAGATTTAGTGGGCTCATTTTGTATGACGAGAGGGGCGCGCCACTTGATCAGCAGGGTGAGCTAGGGACTCTGCATAAACAGGTAAACTTTTCAAATATAATTGCATGCTTGCCCCTTGTAATCTAGTTAATTTTTCAAAATTATGCAATGTTGCCTATTAAATTTACATATACACCCCAAGTATAAGGGTTGTGTTTGAAAGATACTGTGAAATCGAATAAATACTGAGGCGCACTCATGGTTTCTTCAAAGATAATCGGGTGTGTCTTATCAATACACTAAAATTTGAAGGGCTCTTTTGCAAATAAAACAAGAAGTTGACTGGAAGCTGCTTTATTAGCACCATATTATTTTTTTCATCAATTTTAGCAATAACTAAACAAGATAACCAACTAATTTTGCAAGTGTCCTATTTTTATTTCTATTATATATTTTAGAATATTGACATTTCAATTTGTAAATATACAAATCTTTTGAAAAAGTATGAATGCCTAATTACCATTAGGTCCCTACTTAAAAGCAACTTTATTGTTGTAATATTGCTAGGAAGTGGGTGTTTCTGCAATTAAACAAAACTCAAGAGGTAATTTTGATAATTAGCCATTTAATTTAGACTCTTTTGTCCACTTATATGTATTATTGTGTGTGAGATGTAGGAGATTTCAGCTGCAGCAGTGAGAACTACTCTAAGGGACTTGTTGTGATATATTTGCCTATGGAATTGGCCTTGAGGAGCTCAGAGTTTAATTTTGCCCAAAAGTTCATTAATAAAATGCAACTTTATTTGTTAATTTTGTGATTTTGTGTTAATTACATTAGACATGAGGCAAATATGATTAAGGAACTTGGGCTCAAGCTATCATTTTAGTAGTCTTTTTTATGATCATATGAGTTTTCCCTTGTTTTTTATTCTGTCTTTGGCATGTAATATTAATAATAAGAACCAATAAATCAAAGCTTCATGTACAAAAGCAAATGCTAATATAGGATAAGTTTGGTAGATTAAGTTGAAAAATTAAATGATAGTTGATAAGTTAATTTCGAGTGAAAAGATGATAGATTGTTGCAGATGTCACAACATGTTAACTGATATAATAATAGTATTTGATAAATTAACTGATATAAGTTAAATGACAAGATAGAACTTTAAAAAAAAATCTTCATAACAAACAAGACTTAGTTAAATATAAAAAAATTATAAGGTAAATAAATAAAGATTAAAGGTATTTTATAATGCTTGGCCATCCAACATTCCAACTCAACCTTATGAGTGATACTACTATTATTATTATTATTATTATTATTATTATTATTATTATTATTATTATTATTATTATTATTATTATTATTATTATTATTATTATTATTCTAATTTCATAATATATTTCAGTGGGCTATTGGTCATTCATTTATGGGGGATTTTTAGGTTTACCACAAGAACTTAAAATATTTGAATTTGTACCAAGGTGTAGATTTTATTTGCGTTCCTACTTTATTAGTGAATAATCAAATTTCAGTCACCAAATAAAATATATGAAACGTGTCCCTTAAATTGTGCATGAATTGGAATATCGGATTTGCACTAAAAAAACAAAAGATATGGTAAGTTTATATATCCTATTAATTAGAAGATTGTTTCAATACAAAATAGAAAGATAAGAAATTTAATCTCAAACAACGTCATCTTCTAACTACATATAAAATACATAATCAGGATTATATACAGAAGATATACTCATTATATACAAACGATATACATAAAATACACAACATATATATAGAAGATAAATCGATCCTGTCATTATATACAAAATATATACAGAAAATATACAAAATATATACAAAAAACACATTAGACCACAAAATTTAATTTCAGCTCGATTTATATGCAAAATATATAACAGAAAATATGCACAAGATATGATTCACCACCAGGACCCTTTTCCTCTGCCTCCCAATCCTCCCCAAATTATCTTCAGCTCGATTCATTTGCCGATCTCTTCAAACCCTAACAAGCAAACCGTTCCATTTTCCAATTATCATGGCCAGGAAACAAAAAACCCGCGCTACAGAAGCTACCGAAGAGCCTGAACTCGTACAATAAACTGAGCCCGAACCCAGTCGGAGCCCGACTGAAACATAGTTGTTGTTCGCTACATCCTTTCGCAAAGAAGAAGACCGTCGGTTAATCGAAATTGCTGCTATTCGGGCTCTCAGTACGCAAAAACAACCGTTGCTCGCTGTTGAAAAAGGTCAGGTTTGCTCGTGTGGAAGGGGTGCGGGTATTTGGACCGATGGAGAACGGGCTACCTACTGAAATTATTGAAAAGCGGATCGAGAAGAGAGAAAGGGGCATAGAGAAAAAGGAGAAGAATGAGATAAAGATGAGAGAGATAAATCTACCCTTAATGACGCTTCATTCCATTTTTAAGTTAATCATATTTTATAAAATATGATATGATAATTTTGCAATTATTATCATACATCTAGTAATTTTGCAAATAAAAATGATAAGTGATGTAAAGGGTGTAATTTACGCATTCATTTATTGTGGGGTCCGGTAAAGAAACCCAATTAAAATTGTATACGTTGAGTTCTTGCCAGGCCCACCGTAAGCCCACTCAAGTGGCCCGCCCACACTGAAAGCCTGAATACGAAAAACGTGTGGCCCCAAATGCTTTTCAGATACAAGTGATGAAGTGAAGTTGATTTCGTAAGACAAAATAAAATATAAAAAATACACTATTTTTTTTTTTT